CGATTGATTCGCTGTTTAATCGATTATAATACTGTCATAAAATTTCTCAAAACTTCATAAGTGATTTTAACTGATAAAAGCATGGTTTAATCAATTAAAACATTTAACCAAAACTTGTATAAGTTATTTTAATCGATTAATTCAAAGTTATATTGATTAAAATATTGATAGAACATTTTTCAAAACTTCTCAAGTGATTTTAATCGATTAATTCAAAGTTACATCAGTTAAAATGCTGATAAAAGGTTTTCAAATACTTCTTTGATGAAAATAATTGATTAATTCGAATGTGCATCGATTAAAACAAGTGACAATATATGTTTTAAGTGGTTTTAATTGATTATTTCAAAAATACATCGCTTAAAACTCGTCAAAAATGTTTCCAAATGATTTTAATCGATTAATCTTAAAGTGTATCAGCTTAATTTTAATTCTTAAGAATATATTAATTGATTTAAATAGGTTTTTAACATGATTAAAATAATTAGAGGCATTTTTAATTCTTTCAAATGATGAAACCTCATGTAGCGAAAAAGAATGAATGATTACACCCATTAATATTGATGCAGACTCACTAATCACTACACCCTTTAACCCAGATATCTTTTGACTTCATCAAATCTTCAATATCTTCAATCAACATAGAGTTCAATAAGATCTTCATCACTATCAATTGGTACATCCTCGAGCTCACTAGTAGTCCTTCCATTAATCGCCAATTAACATAGAGTTCAATAAGATCTTCATCACTATCAATTGGTACATATCCTTGAGCTCACTAGTAGTCCTTCCATTAATCGCCATTCATCCTAACGGGACACGCATACCTGACCCACCCTGTCAAGAATACTTTCGATACAAAGACCACTTTGTTCCACTATTGATCAACCTTTAGCTATGATGCCACTTGTTAGGTCTTTCGAGGGGGATTCACTGAGGAGAACAACACCAATGAGACAAGATTCCAACCCACATAAAGGATTGACATCAGTCTTAACTGTTAAACATACAAGGATATGAAACTTGAAGATTTTGATGATGATTCAAAGACAAAGGACTTAGAGATTTGAATACTTGTAATCACGTGTATTCACTTGTAATAACTTTGTTTTATGTTTTTGAGTCTGTAAAATTAGAGTCCAAGAGTCCAAGATAGCCAGCACATAGTCCATCCTCTAAAATCTCTAAAAGCTCATTTTTATCAAAAATACACTATGATAATCGATTATCACTCAAGATAATCAATTATCACAGACTGAAAATTGTTTTTATGAAAAGCTTACTGTGATAATCAATTATCACTCAGGATAATCGATTATCTCAGCCAAATAATCCAAAACACAAACACAATTTGGTCAACTAACAATACTTGTTGAAGAGCTTCATTTGCTTCCCTTGCTCTAGTCCTTATCATAGGTCATGTTCACATCATTCTCTCCCTCTTGAAAAGGATTTGTCCTCAAATTGGATTTGTCATCTACATAAAAAAGAGATAATTCTGATAAATTGAATGTAGAACTAACATTATACTCACTTTTTATGGCTAAATAACTCTCCCTCACTTCAAGTGTTTCACTAACACTTTTTTTTTCTCTCTTTTGTTGAAGAAATTTATCTCTCATTTTCTTTTTATCCTCCTCTACCATCAATTTGATGTTCAAACCTTTAAATCAGGGCTCTGATACTAACTGATATGAAACACAAGGGGTGATTTAGGATATTTAAGGTTAGAACCTTGTAGAAAATTTAGGAATTTAGTGATAAGGTGGAAGGAAAGAATCACTCTTTCCAAGGAAGACAACTCACAAAGGATGTGAAAGTTCTTTGATACAGTAAAATATTCTTGAATCACTCAAGAACTTAGGAGCATCACTCTCACTAAGATAAAAGAGATAAACTCTAATATTTCTAAAAATAAAACTCAACTTGTTATTTCTGATAAAAAATGGTTCAGCTTATAAAAAAGTTTTGTCATCACAGTTACAAATATTCATTAAAGGAAAATAAATGATAATAATGATTTATTAACCTAGGAATTGAAAATTACTTAATGATTGATTCTAACTAAAGTTGTGTCATCCAAAAGTCAATCAGCTATACACCCTCTTGGTCTCCCAAAGACTGATAACTAAATTTCTAATTGGACCCTTATTACAACTTGTAATAAAACTAAAATAAAGCTCATTAATTTATTAATCCAAAACACAATTTGGTCAATTAACAATAATTGTTGAAGAGCTTCATTTGCTTCCCTTGCTCTAGCCCTTATCATAGGTCATGTTCACATCACACTCCTTTTTCAAAATCGATTTATTATTGATGAGTTGAGTTATGATAAAGCACACATGAGTAAGTTACATGGGTCACCCCTCTAATCATTGACTAATGAGCAAATGCATGTGTATGAAAAGATTCTTATAGCAATTTTTTTAAAACAAGGAGGATTTTTCTTTGTATATGGTTATGGTGGTACAGGAAAGACATTTTTTTGGAAAACTTTGTCAAAGCTGCTATAAGGTCTAAATGAATGATTGTTCTTAATGTAACTTTAAGTGAAATTGCTTCTTTGTTACTTTTTGGAGGAAAGACCGCTCATTCTACCTTTTGCATCCCATTATTGATAAATGAAGAATCAACTTGCACTATTGTTCAAGGGAGTCTTCGAGCTAAGCTTTCGATGGAAACCAAGTTAATTATATGGGATGAGGCACCAATGATAAACAGATTGTGCTTTGAATCGTTTGATAGAATATTGAAAGATATTATGAAATGTCAAAATGAAGATAATCATGTAAAACCATTTGGTGGTAAAATTGTCGTCTTAAGAGGTGATTTTAGGCAAATTCTACATGTTGTGAGAAAAGGTTCAAGACATGATATTATCAAATCATCAATAAATTCCTCAAAACTATGGAACAATTGCAAAGTTTTGAAGCTTTCTAAAAATGAGATTAAATACTGCAAGAACATATGAGAATTCAATGGATGTAAAAAAATTTGCTAATTGGATATTGAACATAGGTGATGGAAATATGGTCTGAATGAAAATGATGAAGGTCATATTGACATTACAATATATCTTTTAATTGAGAACAATGATACTATTACTTTTATTGGTTGATTTTGTTTATCCTAATTTTGTTCATAACATAAATTCTCTTGGTTTCTTTCATGATGGAACAATACTTTGTCCAACTATTGAATCCGTAGAAGAGGTGAATGAATTTATTCTATCTTTAACACCTGGTGAAGAAAAGAGTTATTTAAGTTTGGACACAACTTGCTAATTAGATGAAGACCAAGAAGTTCAAGGTGAATGGTTTATATCAGAGTTTCTACATGACTTTAAATGTTCAAGAATTTCAAGTCATTGTCTTAGGTTAAAAGTTTGTGTCCCTATTATGCTTCTAAGAAACATTGATCAAGCTAATGAATTTTGTAACAGAACAAAATTGCAAGTCAATGATCTAGGAAAAAGTGTTATTTAAGCTATTGAAATTACTAAAAAAAATATTGATGACAAAGTATTTATACCAATAATGGATTTAATTCCTTCAGATCTAGGATTTCCTTTCAAGTTTTAGAGAAGACAAATTTATTTATCATTGTATTTTGCAATGACAATAAACAAAAGTAGGACTTTATCTTCCATGTCTTGTGTTTACCCATGGTCAATTATATGTGTCTGTATCCAGAGTAATAACAAAAAATGGGTTAGAAATTCTAATTATAGATGAAGAAAGAAATTCTCTACGTCAACAAAGAATATAATATACAAAGAAATTTTTTAAAATCTTTAAAAAAAGTTCTTATAACATGTTGAATTCTTCGTATCAAATAGAAATATTGATTTAATATTTATATATTATTTTTTATATTATTTTATACTAAATTTCGTTACTAATTTTCATTTTAATCAAGTATAGGTTTTTAAAAATACATCAATGTACAAGTTACACTCTATTAAATGTAATTTCAGCTTATGTACTAAGTAAATTTTTAATGTATTATGTCTTCATTTATCATAATTTATATTTTCATTATTTTTTAACTTATTATATTAATTTATTAAATATATAATATTTTTCAATGTATTATCTCTTCATTTATCATAATTTATATTTTCATTATTTTTTAACTTATTATATTAATTTATTAAATATATAATATAATCTCGTGGGTTGCATGCATGTTTATCAAACTCGTGAGTTAACACGTCAAATAACTGGTTATAAGTTAACTCGTGAGTAGACTTATTTTAGAGTAAACTTGGAATCAAACTCGGTAAACTCGGTGGACTCTGTAAACTCGCGAGTTAGAGGCGAGTCACCAAATTTGAAGGAAAAGAAAAACTTAAATGTTGTTTGACTTTTCTCATTTTTTCTCACAAGTTCAAATCTCGTTCTTCCCACTATTTGTCGCTGCTTATCGTTGTTAGTGGTTATCGTCGCATGTTTGCCTTTAGTCGCATGGTGGTTACTTGATGCTTGCTTAGGTCGCGCGGTGATTGCGCAATGATCGCACAAAATTCACCTAGGTTGCACGATAATCGTGTTCCTTGTTATTTATCACAATTTACCGTCTTCTAAATTAAATTGAGGAATTAAAATTTTAAGATTTTTGAATAAATTTGATAAGTTATATTGAAAATTTAAAAGATTTAAGATTTTAAATATTCAATATTTTTTTTATTTTGATTATACTTTTATACAAATTCAATTAATTTATTATTTTGATTATTTTAATAATAAAAATTGATATTATTATATTTATTATAAAATTTATATTTTTCATTAGGAGTTACCTATCTCTCTCTAGGTCTGTCAGAATCTTGAATATGATAATTGTACGGAAAATAACACTATTTTATATATATATATATATATATATATATATATTTACGATTTTACGCAAGGCTTGAAGCTTGGACAGTGTAGATAGGCATACACTGAAAGAGAAGCGGACAAGTGGGAAGGAACGTTCACCGGCGGCAAAGAGACATGACCGGAGAAGAAATATCCGGCCCTCCTGGACCCAAGCTCATCCGTCTCGTCTTCTTCATCGGTGCTGGAGGTAATCCAATTCCCTCTTTCACCCACGCCTATTTCTTCCTTACTTAAATCGATTTTAACGAATCATTTTTAGTGATCTGCACCACCGCAATCAACAAGTGGCGTGAATACGAGAGGAACACCATCGTTCAGCAACAGCAGCAGCGACCTGTGGAGACGCATAATTCGTCGGAATCTGTTGCCGTTCCCAAAACTCTCAAATAAAGGTTAGGGTTTTTATCGTTAATGCAGTCCGCAACGATTTGTTGATATAGACCAATGTTTCAATATATAGGTAGTTTTAAGACGGAGATCTTGCGTTAAATCAATTGTATTATGCAGGTGGAGTTTTTCTCCTTAGCTTTGATTATTAATTGTTGCCGTTAGGGTTGTGAATGTGAGGTTTTGTTAGGTTAGGCAATGAATATATGTCATTGCTTGCTTGGAAAAATGGAAATGAATTGTGGTGCGAAGAGTAATAAGTTGTAAGAAAATTTTGAATTGCTGGATAAATTGTCCTTTATTTATTATTGCTAATAAACTTAAAGATTTTGTTTGCAACTTGATTTAGCTTATTCAGAATTAATTGCCGATTATACCTTTGTGTCTGAATATGAACATACTGTTGGACTTTAGTACAAATTTAGATTTAGTAGATCATGTATGGTTCCTCAAAGGTGCGTCGATAAGGAGTGAAATTTGATAGAATTGCCTTTGTTTGGTATCGAGTTTCTGAATATCAGCATGCTGCTGGACTTTATAACAAGCTCAGATTGAGTAGGTAATAATGGTTCTGCAAAATATTAGCAAAGACGCCTAAAATACTCTAGATTTTTGTTTTGTAGGTTTGACTTAGCAGCCTTCAGCCGGAAGGAGAACTTTGAGTCTCATTTCAAGTATCCAAAGATAGAAATGATGGAGTCAATTTTAGGAAATTTTGGGAGGACAAAAATCTGCAGGTCTTGAGAACTAAATATAGAATGTTTATATACTCCTAAAAAAATTTGTCTTCCTTTTATTCCATTTCCATACATATGTTTTATGGGTTTCTAGTGACATCAACCACAATAATATAGTCTGGTTTAAAATAGTATAAACAAGTTATACTTAATATCACCAAAGATTAAAGTTCACTTTAAAAAGGTGGAAAGATTATGAATTATACTCTATTTTCCTTTTATTTGAATATAGTTTTTTAGTAAAAAAAGATCATATTGGAACCACAATATTAAGTTAGAGCCCAAAAATATGTAAGATTTATGATCGCCATGTAATTGTGTTGTTTTCTCAAAAGGAAATAGTCATGGTAGTAAGATAAAAATAGCACAAACAAGTCAAAACACTGTGAAACATTGTCCTTGAAATCACTTGAAGTAGTAATATATATAACCCTCTGTGATCATTCATGAATTGTTAATCACATATAAAGAAAATGAGCAAACATTCTAAACTCTTTTCTTCACTTCTTTCCTAATATTTCTTTGAAAATCACATCCTTGGGTGAGTCCTTTTTTTTTTCAGTGTTCACAATAAATTGCAAGTGAAAAGAAACAAAAAGAGTTGAGTTGATAAGTATCACGGAACATGCAACTCAGACTTTGGTTAATGGTCACGTTGGTTCTTCGAATAAAGTTTGAATTCCCTTTGTTTCTTTTCTTATTTTTTGTGGATCGATGGTTCTTTTTATCCTCTTTGCTCAACTGTGTCATATACATTTATTAATGTCAGTCATTGGATTCTCTGTTCTCCCTTGCCATTAACTGCTATCCCCCAGAAAACATGAAAGTGGAGAATCTGCAATTACTTGCTTTGGTGGTTGATTAAAATCTTGTGATTCTTTTTACTGGCCATTTGGCCAATGTTTCATTGTTTTCTCGCCCAATATATCTGCTATTGATTCTCATTGGGTGATTCAAACAATCCTCCCATTTCTAAATACCTTACCTACTGAAAAGTCAAGTCCAGCATCATAGGAAATTGACAAATTTGAGTTCAAACTGATGTCATGATGCAAAATCAAGAGCATATGTTATGTATAAATATTGGGTTCATTTTCAACTGTATTGCATGACAAGGCTAACAATCCCATTAGTCAAAACCTTGTGAAAGAAAATATCAGGCAAGTCTTAATCTTTATTGATGTCTCTCATGAAAAAGGATCAGCACAAGAGAAGTATGGTATTATACTAACAGTGTTTTACATAACTGAATCTGCTGTTTGTTAATTTGATATTGCAATTAATTGGCTTCATGCTATTGACATTAGTAAGTGACAGTTGAGAAGCCCATATCGCCAACACTACATGACTGTCTTGTTTGACAAACAAATCTGTCAGTGATTTTTTTTCCTTACCACATTAAGGTTTTGAAGCAGTCCTCCCCACTACCTACATACCCAAAGTACTAATACACAAAAAATAAGCTAAGGTACAAATTATTAGCCACTTATTTTGGTGCATTATGTTACACCTCCGTGGGCCTCCCACTCTAGTTATGTGGATGGAATGTAATTGGAGAAATGTTCTGCCACAGGATGCATAATACATAAGTTTTCTAATAAAGGTGCTAAAATAGACTTATTCTAACGAGTCGGATTGAAAGATCCAAAATATAAGCTAGAATTTGTGGTGTAAATTGAATCAAGTTAATTTTTCCTTGGTTTGTTTAGCCCGTGGTCTAAATAGGCTTTGGTCATGTTAGCTCGGAGATTTATAAGTCAATCTACTTTATAAAATAATAATTATTTTATAAATAAAAATAAAAGAATATTATTTTATTAATATATATATATATATATATATATATATATTAAATTAATTTAATAAAAGATCTACTTATTCTATGTAAGTCTCTAGTACCCATTTAATCCATTTAATTGTGAGATTTAATGGTTAAGATGAATTATTGTTTTAAACTATTATATGACTAAAAAATAGATGATGAGAACAAAGAAAAGTCTTTCATTCTTATTTTGGGAGTAAATGAATCTGGTTTTATAATTTATATATTAAATCATTATATCTGAAATAAAAAATAATTTCACTAATATTACTTAAATTTTAAAAATATATTTTCTATTTTTATTTAAAATTGTATTTTTATTTCTTTAAATTAATTATTTTTATATAGACATTGTTTACTCTGTAACGAACAAGGTCATATATACAAATATTATTTACATTGTTAGATGTTTGTATATCAATGGGATTGCACCTAGAAGAGACAATTGTGTCGTTAGATATACTAAAAAAGGAAGACGATTGTTTGTCATGTTAAACCTATATTCAATGGGAATGAAATGAGTATAAAGAATATAATTACACTGTAGAGGGAATTGTCTGTTGAAGATTGGGTGGATATTTTATAGATTATTCATTGCTTTTGAATTTTTTGTTTTTATTTCTGATGTACATCGCAAGTTATAAATTTTGTTGCAGTTAAACTGTTAAATGATAATGATGATCATGGTACTTATAGTTGGAATTGTTAGGTATAACTTTCTAGAGTAGAGATTGAGTAGCACACTAACAAATTATATGGTTGTCGTGTACGGTTACACATTGTTGGTTATGTTGTACAACTCATTGAATAGGAGTAATTGTATTTGCATATGTAGTTATTTTTTATATATTATAAAGGTAAATTGGGTTCCTCTGAGATTTAGGAGGTTGATGGGAAAATACAATTTATTTATCACTATTACAAGACCAAATTTTTCTTAAGCAATTGGAGTTGCTAGTCTATTAAGGCAAAATCTTCACGTTGATAATGAAATTATTGGAAGTCTCACATCCCCTGTCTCATATCATTTGATATGGTTTAAATACATGTTAGACTATTTCACATATTGTCAATTGGTTTTATGTTTGAACCTTAACATGGTATTAGAGCCAAAACCTAACATCTTTCCAGTTATTGTCTTGGATCAAGAGTTTCCCTTTCGTTGTGGGTTAAAGTACCTCTTTTCCTGGTCCGGCAGACTTCGTTGGAGGGAACGTGTTAGAAGTCCCACATCGCCTGTCTCATGTCATTTGATATGATTTAAATACATGTTAGACTATTTCACATGTTGTCAATTAGTTTTATGTTACAATTTTTATATATGTGAAAGGGGTTGTAGTCAAGGAAAATACTCTATCTTTGGGATATTGTGACGTAAATCGTGTTGGTTGTCCCATTGATAAGAGATCTATTATAGGATATTATGTATTTATTGGAGGGAATATTATTGTTTATAAGTTCGAACGATCAATTCCCAGTCATTCTAGCTAAATCTCTAAGAGAATATAGAATTCAATTTATATGTTCTAAATTTGATTTATACAATCCGTACTTTTTTATAGCAATCCGTGTTTTTCTTCTCCCCGTTCACTATTTTCCTCTTTGTTTACTTCACCGTTGGGTTTCCTCTCTTTTAATTTGTATTTTCTTCTCCTTAATCATTCTTCTTCATCCTCCATTTTTCTCACGTAGAATTTCTTCTTATACCTTTTTCTTTTTCATGATTGCATTTCTTGTCCTTTATTATGCGTTTCATTGTTCTTGCTCTCTCTGATTACTCTTATTTTTTTCTTTTAACAATTTGAGTTTTAAATAATTTATTTTTTTAATGAAATCCACTTTAAAGTCACCTATTGAGTCAACAAAAAAAGTATTATTTTATGGGTATCCTCAAACTTTGAGGTGTTCGCCGATCTTTCTTCTAGGCTGTAACAGAACAAAGTGCATGCTTGAATACTTTGAGACTGTGTGTGCTGGTGCTATGATTTAGTATTGCATATTGTCATAGTGTAGTTACACAATTCGAGGTATTAGTTGATTTATACTGTGTTGATTGTGGATGGGCCTTGGGAGGTGTGGTCATGGGTGATTTTGTGATAAGCTTGAGTATAACGGAGGATACATGATGTTGATTTGGATGACCATGGGTTGTTGGCTTAAGGGATATGCACAGTCGTTGTGGCTGATCGCTTTTGATTTGTGAATCATGTGTGTTAATTATATAGTTGAGATTGACTCATGTAGAAGATTGTATTTTACCAAAGGAGATTTCTAAAATATTTATAAGGTACATTTAGGGAAACTTGATAAAGATGAAGAAATAATGGATATCTTTAAGATTTGATAAAGTCAAAAGAATCTTGAAATATGAGATATTGTGTGGTAATTTAGTGAGTCTGTATTAATATTGAGTAACTATAATCATCTAACCAATATTACAGTAT